GGAAATTGTTTAACTTGCTTTTTTTCTAACCAGTCCTTCATTCAGCAAACATTTATTCGACATTTACCATGCGCAGGCAGGGTGACATGCTGAAGGCGTCGAGACGAATTAAAACACCCCTTCTCTGTGCAGTTTGCACGTCACTAGGAGAAACAGCCACACAGCTGAAGAGCACCGAGGCTCCTGTGGTGACGGTGCTGCTGGAAGACAGTGACAAGGACGCGAGTGGTGAACTGCACAGTGTGTGTCACACGTGCGGAGCGGGCAGGGGAAACGCACCTTGGTCCCTCTGGGGAGCTCCTGGCGCCCCGCGGCTCCGCCCTGGTCCTCCGGAGCCTTCCTCACAAGCAAGGTGGCTGCCTGCCTGCCGTCGTGTCGTCCCAATGTCCCGTCCTGATCCCCGTGCACGGCCGTTTTCCCTGTGATTCTGGGCGGCGGTTTTTTCAATCTTCACCTTGTTTACTTCAAGTCCATGTTTTGGGGACAATATCAAAATGTTTGGGTCATCTCAGTATCCATCATCCAACTGAGCAATGTCCCCTGGTTTCATTGTTTCCATTGCATTTATGTTGATAATCATTTTGGTGTCGGATAGCACTCCTTTAACATCCAGCCTGACAATTCTTGATGTTTAGTGAGGCCATTTAGTCATTTATATACATCATTATTGGTGTAACTGTAACAGATTTTCATCCCATCCTGACTTCCCGTTTTGCCCGTCTTTCTCTCCCTTTCAGGTTCATTGCTTTTTTATTTCAGCTCTTGCATCTCAGTCCTGCGTCTGGGAACATTTCTTTCTGCCCTAAGTACATCCTGCGGAACAAACTCTACTTTCTGATTATTTGTCTGCAGACGCCTCATTTTACCGTGTGCCAGATTTTAGGTCGACACCTATTTTCTTTCAGGTTATTGAAGAAGAAAGTCCGCTGTTTTCTGGTTTCCATTATTTCTGTCTAAAAGTCAGCTGGAAGTATAGTTGTCACTCCTGTGAATATAATAAGTTCCCCCTCATTCTGGCTGCCTCAAAATAGAAAAGTCTAACTACTTCTTATGGAAAATTTAAGACATTTTCAAAGTTAGAAAGGATCACCTGCTAAGCCCCCCCGAGCCCGCAGTCCAGCTTCGATGGTTAACATCGTGTGTCATCTGTCCCACACATGCAGGCGGTTGTGCACGGCAGTGTCTCCCTTATGTTTCTGGAGTATTTTACAGCTGACACATCTTGTCAATACGTTTCTGGCCACTTTGGTTATAAGAAAGTCCCCTCCGCTTTGAGGTTCCGAGCTGATGTGCATTTAAACGTTTCCTCACAGGGACTGCAATGGACGCAGAGGGGACGGCGTGTGGTCAGCTCATCACGGACCCCCACACACACCACCAAACGCTTGGGGCTGAGTGTGGGGAGCCGGTGTCTGCCCTCCCTCATCTCCTCAGCGCCCAGCCCCTGAGATTGGGGACAAGGCGTGGGGAGAGGCAGGCCCTTCCTGGTGACACTCCTGGTCTTTCCCTGGCCAGCCCTGCCCCCCGTGGCCTGACGCGTGTCATTCCCATGAGGAACGTCGGGTCCTCCCACCGGACGCCCACTGGCCCTGCCCATGGTCCCGGGCTGCCCTGGGTGAAGTAGGGGCCTGCCTGACCTGGAGCGCCCCG